GCTTTATTTGAAGAAGGCTGTGAGATTGGACAGATGGACTACACAGAAAGATCTCAGGGTGAGTGTACTTGGCTTGTGGGATAGGATTCATCTCTTTGGTTTTCACTGCAGCAATGAAAACAGGATAGAGCCTGGAACTGGTAGAATCATCTCCACACTCTTTGAAAACTTGCTGACCTCCAGTCCCTGTCTGGTTATACCTAACACAGGGATAAACAAGACCCAGGCCCTGCTTGCCAGCTGTTTCTACCTCAAGGGACACTTGGAGGTTGCATGGAGGGTTTAACAGAGTTTTAGGGATGGACACAGCAGCCAGGGGGTGAGAAGCATGCACAAGGCAGTGGCCAGATTACACCAGGAAGGCAAGTGGCTCTCTTACTAACATAGAGGAAATCACTTGGCTAACTACTAAGGGCTCACATAATGGGAAGGAGGCTAGGGACCAGGTTTTGAATACTGGGTCCCCAAGAGCTTCTGATGGGCCAGGCTTCCAAACCCAGAGCAGAGCCAAGAGCAGAAGTAAACTGGCAAGCATGCTGCCATTGCTGCTGCCTGGATCCAGGCCTCCAAGCATGTTCATCCTGGCATCTCCTGTTCATATTCAGAGACCTAGGCAAGGCATTTAAAAATGTACATACTAAGCCACATGCTCATCCCCTAACTGTGCCTTCAGTGATGACAGGCCCCTTTCCACCAAATTTGCAAATAGGAATTTTCCCTAAATCCCTGAGGCAACTAAAAGAAGGACTCTTGCATTCTAGTTTCTGTGAAATAAATGATAGTTGTCACAATCAAAATAAGTCACTCATGTTAACCTTAACAAAAAATAAATAAATATAGGATGTTATGAAGTAAAAGTCCTTATGTGTGACTGCCTGATTCTAACTATCACAAAAGACTTCACCAGAACCACAAGGTTGTACAGAGGCCACTTGCAACCTTACACAACATGTACTCTGCAGGGACATTTGCCCAGCAACTGTCTGTTCAACCTCAGACTAACATTACCCCAGGTGTTAATTGTTGTGACTAAAGATTATTGTTTCAAAATAGCTAATGTAATCCCTCATTTTTTGTCCTTGCCTCAGCTTCCTTGAATGCACCAGTTTACTATGGTATGCATGTTCCCATTGCAGTGTTCTGCTAGTCCTAAATAAATATGGTTCCTTGGAAAATCTCACTTTGTTGTTTTTAGATTGACAGTTGCCAACCAATTGTTAAGATGCTGACATTGCATTTGTAAAGACTGATGGGCCTAGGGCACTATTCCAAGATTGGCCGAATGATGAAAATGGGATGGAAGAAAGGGGCAACAATTATGTGGGCTACCTGTGGTGTCATTAGAGTACAGAAAGGCTAGGGGCCAGGGCCCAGAAAGAGATAAGGACAAAAGCAGGAGTGTGGTACCTGTCTCTAAGTGAGATCTATTAAAGAAGACAGGATTAGAGGGCCTTCGGTGGCTCCAAGGATGTCTAAAACCTGTACCTCTAGAGGCATTATTCCTAGGATCCATTAGTGCTATCCACCAGGTAGGAGCTGCAGTACAGATGTCTGCTCTTTTGAGTAGTGGGTACTCTTTTCTGCAGGTGTCATTAGAAATCCCCTGTAGCATGAGGGTCATTAGCAATCACATTTCACTGCAGCTAATGGAAACCCAAAGGGAATTAGCTAAAAGATGGCATTTCACAAGTGTCTTGGAAGGGCCAGAAAACCAGTCTTTGAGGCTTTGAAGAGAGGAAAAAGGGTTAAAATCAAATTGTAGTGCTGGACTGGCAAAGGTACCCCATGGCTCCCATTCATACCTGGACACAAACACTGTAGCTTGCATCCACCAATGCAGGAAACAGATGCTACTGCAAGAACCACCAGTGCCACTGCTCTGCAGGAAACAGGTGGCATTGCTACCACCCAATCAGAATTTATGGTGCTCATGCTTATTCCCATCTGGGGCCTTGGATTCAGATGGCATTGGTACATCTGATTGATGGGACCCAAGTCATATGCTCATGTCCTAGCTGCAAAAGGAAGCTGAGAGCACCCAGAACTAGCATTTTCCACTCCTCTCATAACGCAGCAACTTTCCAGGACAGAAAGAATGAACAGTGTCCCCTGGGCCCACATAAATGGTCTAATTGCATTGCACTGCTTTTAGTATGGAATTTGACTCTTTCCCATCCCCACAGAGCTCTAAAATGGTCTCATCTTTTGCACTCCATTACTCCACAGTTTTCAGCATAATGCCATACTCTGATCCTTCTGAGGGCAAGAGTATGGGCTATGCCCTTGGTTTTGTTAAAAAAAAATAATAATAATTAAGTGGAAGTCATTTGGCTGAGACAGCTCTAGTGTCTCAGATTCCTACGTAAGCAAACTGAAGTCCAATGTAAACAGTAAAACTGTAAGCTTAACAAATCAAAAGACACCTTTAACCTCCAACTGGGGATTTCCCACCCAATTGGACTCCCATAAGAAAAGTACTAAGCTGTAGCCTATCAAGTAATTTGTTTCCACACTGAACATATAAAAGCTCACTACTCATGCTGATAAAAGTTGAACTCTCCGAATCTCTCCTAGCTGTACTATTCATGAACCTTTAATCACCAAAAAAAATGTTAGATTTATTTTGTCTAAAAAGTTTCTCTTTGGGGGCTGGGGCTGTGGCTCAGCGGTGGCAGCGCACTTGCCTGGCAGGTGTGAGGCACTGGGTTGGATTCTCAGCAACGTAAATAAATAAATAAATAAATGTCTATCAACAACTAAAACATTTTTGAAAAAGTTTCTCTTTTGGGCTGAGGTTGTGACTTAGAGGTATAGCGCTTGCCTAGCACATGTGAGGTCCTGGATTCGATCCTCAGCACCACATAAAAATAAATAAAGTATTGTGTACAACTACAACATTATTTTAAAAATAATATTTTTTAAAAGTTTCTCTTTTAACAACATGCTACTTTCTGCACACACATTACTCAGTCTCAGGATATCACCCTTTCAGAGAGTATCCTCCAACTCCTGTAAACCCCTCCTTTGCTATGTATCTCACTGGCCTTGCCTGCTTTTATCCTCAAGATAAAGTCTTGGCTTGCAAGTGGAAGTTGTCTGGAAATGTTTTGCCCATTCTCTCAGAAGCTCCACAAATATCTAGAAGTTTGCACTTGCTCTTTAAATTATTACAGGGTGAGATTTTGAAGTTTTAGAATATCTCAAATTAAAACATATTGAGGCTTTTAGAAAAACCCAGTCACTCTAATGCTGGCTTTCTCACCAGAGGTGCTATTGCACTTCTGGGTACAATTGTTCTTTACTGCATAACCCTACCACAAGAATCACTCATATTTAGTAGTCCAGAACCCCACACACATGATAGAGTGGTCTTCCCCCAATCAAGGAGAAAACCAGCATCTCCTTCAAGCATTTTCAAAAGTCCCAGGGTAAAAACCACCTCAATCAAGGAACAATTAAACTTCAAAATTTTGTAATTCACCTATAAAAATTTTTAAAGTCATCAACTCCTAACCTGCTTATTGAAGTGCATAGTCTCTCACTGTGGATGTCTTCTATGAGTACTTAGCAAAGAGATCTTTTTCTGCCCCTCCACTCCCACCCAAACTCCAGCCATCCCTTTTATCAACTGCCCATAGCAGAGTCAAGACTCAGTTAGAACATTTAATGAAATTTATTGAAGAGAAACATTCATTGAGCCCATCAATGAGAAGAGGATGACAACATGGAAAGGGACTCTTCACAGCTTGTAAAGACCACAGGTACTGGGACGCAGGGACACCTCATCCTGGACTTCTAATGAGGTTTCTCATCTGCTCCCCATACTAGGGCCCTCCTACCACATTTTCCCTTACTAGGGCCCCCAGATCTGCCTCTTTCCAGGATGGTGACCTCTGGCAATACACATTACTTTCAGGGAATTCCCTCTGAGACTGACTCACTGTGGGGTGGCCCTTGCCCTACAATTGGCACAGAGACACTAAAAAGCACATCAGGAAATGCCTCACCAAGCTGAGGAAACTGAGTTACAAATAACAGAGGTGGAACATCAAAGCACAGGCTCCAGCTCTCCACATCCATCCCCAGTCCAGTTCTTTCTGCAAAAGGTAAGATTGCAGTCCCAGATGCAGTCACAGTTGTAGTCGCAGTCATGGGCACAGCATCAATCACGCCATCACCATCCATCCTTTCCGCTGTCTCCTGGGACTGGTGGGCTCAGGATCTCCTGGAAGAAGCTGCTCAGATAAAAACATACAATACTCCACAAGAACAAGTGGCAGAAAGCTGGCCTATATCTACACCAAGAAAGCAGAGGTTAAGTCAGGACACTGGACAGGAGCAGGCAGAGCCTTGGCTCACATGGAAGCTCACAACATGTGCCCAGACCTAGGGGTGGCTGGTGAGGGCAAGGACCTCCACACAGAGATGACACACACCTCATGGCTTTGCACAAGAATTATGGCTAGTGTGAGGTGGGCATTTGCTTGAGGTGGATCTCCACGGAGCTTACAAATAAGGGTGGATTTCCAGGAACAGGTAGCATCCTGTTCTGGAATTGGTGAACTGGGAGGGGAGGATAGAATCCCCCTGATGGGAGAGCCAGGCAGCTGGCACCCTTGAGATGGCTTCCTCCCCACACCCCTGGCAATGTCTCTCAGTCAGATATCTTCAGGTACCCTCATCTAGGCCAGAGCTACCAGCTCAGGGGTGCTTCCAGGCCTACTGCCCTAGATTGGTGGAGTTTGAGGCTGGGGATGCCATGGGGAAGAGTGACTCCTCCTGCCAAATCTGGTTGAAATTGTGGTCATCTGGGCCATTTGGAAGAGCTGGTGGTGGTGATGAGAGCTCCTTGGAGAGTTGAGAGGCCTATTTTGGATGGAATGAGCCCTTCCCTGAACTCTGCTCCAAATATGGGATAGGGTGACAGCCCTGGCCTGGCCTACCCCTGCCTCCAGGGATGTGTTGCCTGAGAGGAGAGAAGGCCCCTGGGACTTCTGAGCCTATTTGCCCAAGGAGGGCTTGGGGTCGCTCGTCTCCCCAGCCCTATCCTTGTTTCCCAACTCTTCCAGGATGTCCTTAAGCCCCTCCAGCAGGGGCTCCTCGGCCTCCTGATTTTCCCCCTGGAGGAGGCTCTCTGGCCCCAAACCAGGCCCTCCTGGGCTAGCATCAGAAGCACTGCCCATCTGGGCTGGGGTGAGGCCACTGAAGGCCTCCACTGATCTTGCCTGGCCTAGACCTGCAGGGGAAAAAGCATCTTCATTTTCCTGAGTGGCAGGGGAGGTATTGGCCTCTTTAATGGCAGGTGCTGCCTTCATGACATCATCTGTATTGGAAGTAGCTTCAGCAGCATGCTCAGGGCTAGGAGCAACCTTGTCAGCTGGGTAGGCTTCATCAGTGTTTTCAATGGCAGGGGCAGCCTTGCTGGCATCTTCATTGGATGGTTCTGCCTTGGTTTTCTCTACAATGATGGAGATACATTCCATGGTGACCTCATTGGGAAGGGTGGCCTCACTGGCATTTTCACTGGATGGAGTGGCCTCAGCATTATCTTCGTTGTCAGGTGCAGCCTGGGCAGCAGCCAGATCTCCTTGGTAAACTTCAGCTCCCTCTTCACCTTCCACCTGCTCATTCCTAGCTAGGGCAGCCTCCCATGCCTCAGTCTCCCTAATGAGCCGGAGAAGCCCCAGGAAGCCGGGTGGCCTCCTCTCCAGACGCATCCTCCTCAGGTTGTTCTGGAGCATCTGGTTTGGTCGGGCCCTCATCAGCACCTGCTGGGCTCGCAGCTGGTCAGCAATAGCCGGATGGATGGCCCCCTTCTCCAAGGCTACCTGCAGCAGGCCTTCCAAGCGCATCACGTAGGCAAAGAGAGTCTCCTGAGGCCGCTGAGAGCAAGCCAGGAACTTCTGGCGTGCAGTCATCCGGGTGTCCTTGTTCCCAAACACCTGCACCAGCGCGGCCAGGCAGTCCCGTGCAGGAGTGTCTGGGTGTTCTTCCAGGAGCCCACACATGAGATCCAGGGCGGGCCCACCCAAGCTCTCCACCAGCCTCCTCCTCCTCTCCCTCTCAGATATGTGGCGCCACAGGTACAGCATGTCGTTGGCATGATCCAGCCAGCTCTCGAAGGAGTCTTCCCCACAGGCTGGCTCTTCAATCCCAGAAAAGCTTCTCAGCTCCTCATAGGCCATGTTTTCCAGGACAGGCTGCAGGGCCTGGCTCCACTGCTGGGTCCGGGCTCCCGCGTCGTCTGTCCCTCCTGCCATATCCAAGACTCGTTCCTCACCTGCAGCTCCTGCCTCGCCTGCAGCTCCTGCCTCGCCTGCAGCTCCTGCTATACCTACAGCTCCTATCACACCTGCAACTCCCATATCACCTGCAGCTCCCTCCTCATCTGACTCTCTTGCTTCATCTGCAGCTCCTATTTCACCTGCTTCCTCTGCTTCACCTGCAGCTCTTCTCTCACCTGCAGCTCCTCCCTCACCTGCAGCTCCTGCCTCACCTGCAGCTCCTCCATCACCTGCAGCTCCTCCATCACCTGCAGCTCCTCCCTCACCTACAGCTCCTGCCATACCCACAGCTCCTATAATTCCTGCAACTCCCATGTCCCCTGCAGCTCCCTCCTCATCTGACACTCTTGCCTCATGCACAGCTCTTACTTCACCTGCTGCCTCACGTGCAGCTGCTGCCTCATCTGCATCTCCTGCCTCACCTGCAACTCCTCCGTCACCTGCAGCTCCTGCCTCACCTGCAGCTCCTACCAGACCCAAAGCTCCTAGAACACCTGCAACTCCCATGTCACCAGCAGCTCCCTCCTCATCTGATGCTCTTGCCTCATCTGCAACTCCTATTTCACGTACTTCTGCCTCAACTACAGCTCCTCCCTCACTTGCAGCAACTCTGTCACCTGAAGCTCCTACCTCACCTGCAGCTGCTGCCATGTCCATAGGTCGTATAATACCTGCAACTCCCACATTACCTTCAACTCCCTCCTCATCTGACACACTTGCTTCATACACAACTCCTACTTCACCTGCTTCTTCCGACTCATCTGCAGCTCCTCTGTCACCTTCAACTCCTTCATTTGCAGCTCCTCCCTCACCTGCATCTCTTGACTCACCTCCAGCTCCTCCCTCATTCACAGCTCCTACTTCACCTGATGCTCTTTCCTCACCTGAAGCTCCTCCCTCATCTGCAGCCACTGCCTCACTATCAGTTCCTCCCTCACCTGCAGTTTCTCCCTCACCTACAGCTCCTTCCTCATCTGCAACTGCTGCCTCATCTGTAGGTCCTCCCTCACCTGCAGTTTCTCCCTCAACTACAGCTCCTTCCTCACCTGTAGGTCCTCCCTCACCTGTATCTCCTGCCTCACCTTCAGCTTCTGTCGCACATGCAGCTCCTCTCTCACCTGTAACTCTTGCCTCACATGCAGCTCCTCCCTCACATGCATCTCCTCCTTCACAGACAGCTCCTCCTTCACAGGCAGCTCCTCCCTCACCTGTAGCTTCTGCCTCACTTGCAGCTCCTACCACTGCTCTCCCCTGAGGCTGTGCAGGGAAATTGGGAGTATCCTGGAAGTCAGCATCAGGAGCCTGGGGCAGGAAGATCACAGTCCATGGGCCCCTGCTACCTGGTATTTGTTGGGGGATCAAATTTCGATTTAAATATTCAGCGAACTCAACTAAAGCTACCCTGGCCCCGAGCTCCTTTCGAAAGGTCTTACAGAGCACTCGGTACCTGCCCAGGGGCCATAGGGCAGCCTGCACTGCTTCCTGGAATTCATCTTCCTTGCAGTCTTCAGGGATGCCCAGGATGAGCAATGAGCGCTGGGCATTGACACCCATCCACCTACACCAGTCTCGCAGCATTGTCATTGCCATAGCAGTATTCTTGGGGGAAGGAAGCATGGTTGAACTGGGATGTGTGCTGAGTGTTGCAGTCTCTGAGCACCCTGTGTGTGCAAAGGAGAGAAAGGATTATTATTGCTAGACAGCCCAACCCCTCAAATAGCTGCCCCTTGAGCATGGGGCCGGGGGCTCTTCCTCTCCCTTACTTTGATTTTAGGGAAAATTTTTAATAAATTTATGTATAAGAAGACAGGTTCCTGCCTGTAATCCCAACAAGTTGGGAGGGTAAGTCAGGAGTATCACAAGTTGGAGGCCAACCTCAACAACTCAGTGAGACCCTGTTTCAAAATAAAATAAAATGGTCTAGGGTATAGCTCAGTGGTAGAGTGCCCTTGAGTTAAATACTGTCCAAAATAAAATTAAAAGGATGGGGGATGTAGTTCAGGAGTACAATGCCCCTGAGTTAAATCCTGTCTGAAAATAAAAAGGGCTGGGAATATAGCTCAGTGGTAGAGTACCTCTGAGTTTGATTCCCAGTATTACAGAACAAAAATGTGTTTATAAGCTATAGAGTCAGTAGTTTCTAGTTTATGTGGTAGCAGTTTTGGTAAAATACTTTTCCCCCAAGGAATTCCCAAGTTTTATGTTTTCAACATTTTTTGGTACAAATTTGTGCTTTTTATTATCTTTTAAATGTCTGTACAACCTGTAATAACATCTTCTTTCATTCCTAATATTGGTGATTAGTGTCTTTTTCTCTTGTCTTGATTAGTGTTGTGTTTATCAATTTTGTTACCTTTTTAAAAAAAAAACTATGTGTGTTTGTTAGTTGTATGTATGGTTTATTTTGTGTGAATAAATTCCTGCTTTTTTTATATTTGGTGGTGTTCTTTTTCTAGCTTCTTTAAATAAACCAGTGGACCACTGCCATTATACCTTGCTTTTTTCCCAATTACAAGCATTTAAAGCAATAAATGTTCCTGTGATCCCTTCTTTAGCTGTCTCCCACTAATATTTTTCCTCCTTCTTTTTTTTAATTGTTAATTGATTTTTTAAAAAATAAATGACAGCAGAATGTATTATAATTCTTATCACACATATACAGCACAATTTTTCATATCTCTAGTTGTATACAAATTCATGTGTTCATACATGTACTTTGGATAATGATGTCTATCACTTTCCACCATCCTTGCTAAACCCCGCACACAGACTTATATTTTTAAGTTGTAATTTTTTTATCATTGAGTTTGAAATATCTTCTTAGTTCTTTTTTGATTTCTTCTTTGGTTCATGGATTTACAAATATTTAGACATGTTATCATTATTAACTTCAAATAGAATTCCACTGAGAAATTATTAAATAAGAGTGCAATCTTTTTTTTAAGTTGTAGTTGGCACAATATCTTTATTTTATTTATTTATTTTTATGCAGTGCTGAGGATGGAACCCAGTGCTTCACATGTGCTAGGCAAGTAGTCTGACACTGTTCCACAACCCCAGCCCCCCAGTCTTTTAATGTCTATGATTTTTTTTCTGAAAGAGGTTCTTGCTACATTGCCCAGGGTGGTCTCAAACTTGTGGGCTGAAGTGATCATCTTGCCTCTGCCTCCCCAGTATCTGGGATTACAGATGAACAGCACTCACACCAGGTTTATAAAAAGTCGTTTTTTCTTTATGTGCAGTATGTATTCTACATAAGTAAAGGTAAAAATAGAATGTGCCCTTGTAATCAATGTGCATTTTTCTCAAGACACCAAGCCCCCGTCCCATGCGAACACTACATCCCATGTTGCGTAGGCCACCTGAAGCATCTCCAATTCCAACTGTAGGAGCTACAGCTGCTCACCGCGTCTTCTGCTCCTCACTTTGTCTTCACTTAGGCTGGGGCAGCTGAGGGTGTCTTGTCATCACGTATGCCCCCCACCGCGTCCTGCATACCCTCAGGTGGCGACTCTGTCCTCCAGCCCATGTCCCTCCCGGCTTCAAGGAGTGAACTCCTCCTACTGTCCTGTGTAGTGCCACACGTGCCCACAGGGCTCTTGTGGCGACTTGTAAACCCGGGAAATAGGGCGCCCCCCTGTGCTGGGTCGGGGCTCCCTCCGTGGTGTTCCCACACCATGCAGCTCTGCCACGGCCACCGCCTCGAGCCTGCAGCCTCTACTGTCCATGCTCCCTACACCTGCTTGCACTAGCGGTGGCATAATTAGGGCGCCCCAGGGCTCCCACGAGCCTGTGAGCCCTTTGGTCTTCCCTCCCTGCCATACTCCCGCCAACACCCAACAAGGGCTGTCTCCGGCCACACTTACCCCCAGGAAGCCGAGGGGTGCCCTCGATTCCGTGACCGTCAAGCCCCAGACCACCAGCCCTGCGTTCTCGCCCACCACGACCCCATCGCAGCCTATTGCCTCGTTCCCGCCACGTGCTACGCAGCGTCTTCCAGCCCTCCTTCCACAGACGCAGCCACTAGTCAGCCCGCTCGTCCAGCCAGCGCTGGCGAACGCCTCATACATCCCGGTTCCTTGGTCCCCTCTGTATTCCCCACATGGCGGCCGGTAGCTCTCACCTCTGCTCTCCAAACGCGTGGCGAGCTACCACCCCCCCACTCCTGCCAGGACCCTCCTTCCCACCCTATCCCGACCCCTCCGCCGTTGAACCCACAGACGATCGTCATAGCTCAAGCGACAACCCCACCCCCACAGTTATGTATCCTCCTCAGCCACCCCACACCCGTCCCCTCCGTGACACCAGACCTGCCTCACAGGTCCCCACAACCAGGAGCCCTCCCCTCCAGCAACCCCACGGGCAGCCAAGGACCCTCCCCACGCCGTTCCTGCAAACCACACAGGGAACCCCTCCCGCATGCCTCCCCGATCTCGACAGCCACAATCCCCTTCCAGTTATGAGGTGCCACGGAGCGCCTGGCCCTGGCACCTCATAACCAGCTATCTACCATTCCCCAAAACTCGAGGAACTACCCTACCTGTCCGTGGACTTTCTCTGACTCTAGACAACTCTGGAATCGCACTCAGAAGAATCTGAAGAAATCCCCTCAGGATCTCCTGGGCCCTTTATGCTCAGGCCTTCTGAGCTCCCAGAAGGCCTTACTTCTCCCAGAAGCCCCTGCAAACTGTGCAGAAAGTTCCAGCACTTTTAAGCAGGAACAACCAAAACGAGGCTCCAGTAAAGCACACCCGAATGGTAACGGTTCAGCCCAGGCAACAGGGGTTGGAACTTCCACAAGCAGTAGACACGCCCATTAGCTCTCAGCCAATAAGATGGCTTACCCAGAAGGTAGTGGGGTTGACGGAATAAAAAAATTCCTTTATGCTATAAATTATTCATTTTAATGCTTTTATTAGTGCATTATAGTTAATGTGCATAACAAAATTTGTTCCATTTCAGCCCCCTCCCACCTCACCTTCTTCTCTTTTCCTTTACTAGTATTCCTTTATTGATTTTTAGTCAGTGATTCATAGATATACATGATGGTGGAATTAGTTGTGATGTATTCTTTCACACAATAAACATAATTTGCTCAGTTTCATATTGCAGTTCCTCCTCTTTCCATCCATACTCTTTCAAGTTTTACTTCATATATTTTCAAGCTCTATTATTCAATAGAAGCACATTTATAAATTTTATGTACTTCTGATCAATTAGCACTTATGTCATTACTACATTTGAATTCAGGTAATACTTTTTGTCCCTATTTCTCTGCTACTAGTAAAGCGAACTTGCCCTTCGCATGGTGTATCACATTTCCTGTCTCACCAAGTAAGTCTTTATATTTAAATGAAATCTATTGTAGATACCAAAACTCTTACTTTTTCATCCACTCTGAAAATCCCTTCCTTTCTGTTGCAGTATTTAGCCCATTAATATTTGCTACATGTGAATTTAAGTCCATCCTTATACTGTCTGTCCCATATGCTCTTCTTTCTATGTTCACTATTTCATGCCTGGATTTAAAAAAAAATAAAAACACTTTTACAATTCCATTTTAATTTGTCTTTGCCTTTTTAACAATACTACTTTGCATTATTTTTTAGTAATTTCCCCAGATATAAAATATATATCCTTTATTTTTTATTATCTAATTATAACTCATATTTTGCCCCTTAACATAAATGTAAAAACCTACCTACCATATACATTCATTCCCATTTCACTCCATCTTTTATACTAGGGTTGCCATATGTCGAATACCTACCTATGATATAAACCCTCAAAACACCCTAATATTACTTTAAACTGTCAGCAAAAGAATCTTTTTCTTCAGATTAAAAGGCTTTCTTTAATATTTCTCTTCATGTACATCTATTCATGACTTCTTTTAGCTTTCATGTATCTCAAAATGTCCTTATTTTATCTTCTTTCCTAAAAGATAATTTCCCTGGCTGTAGATACAGATTTGAAGGTTGAAGGGTTTTTCCCCTCTTTCAGCACTTTAAAAAATGTCATTCCAGCACTGGTGTTGTAGTTCAGTGGCACAGCATTTGCCTCACATGCATGAGGCACTGGGTTAAATTCTCAGCACCACATAAAAGTAAATAAATAAATAAATGACATTGTGTCCATCTACAACTAAAAAAAAATTTTTAAAAAAATGTCATTCCATTATCTCCTGGCTTCCATTGTTCCAGATAAGAACTTAGTAGATCTTCTTGTTAATGAACAATAAGTGATGCTTCATTTTATTCCAACTACTTTCAAGATTTCCTCTTCATCCTTTGCTTTCAGTACTTTAAAAAAAAAAAAAAAATTAAATATTATATATATTTATATATATATATATATATATATATATATTTATATTTTTATTTTTAT